GGTGTGTTGTCTTTCAGAGTCCCTTTATGATAAGATCGACCACCAAGCATGAAAGGTGAGTTCAGGACCCTAACATGATATACAATGGTCTGTTCCACCTGGGTGGGCCAACTGTGCTGGAACGCGCCAACACGAGCCAGAGGGGTCTGGGGGCTGAGACAGGAGCCTCGGGCTCTTGCTGATAGGAGACCCCCATGTGTTGAGTGACAGTGGCATGACCCTGGTTGGAGAAGGTGGAGGAACTGCAAACAATTATCTACAGATCTGGTCTTTTTGAAAGAGAGAATGGGTGGATCGTATTTCTATAGCGTGCCATTTAATATGTAAGCTGCACTGAGGACAAATTCATCCGAATTCTGAGAATCAGTGTGCCGCTGCAGTCGTAAAGAGGTTTTTTTTTTTTTTTAATTCAGTCTATTTGTGTAAAATATCCTTAAGGTTAATTGCACTGTGATGCCCAGCAGCTTCTTTAAATAAGCTCTTGTGTTGTGTACCTTGCATCAGTGCACATTCTGTGTGATACTGCATTGCTTTCAGTTCTGTTCTGGAAGAAAACTGATTCTGATGGCCAACTCTTTGTTTAGTGATCCATAGCCAGCATGTGCTGAGTGTTTCAGTTTAATAAATCAGGTATATGGCATACAGGCTTTATTCTTTACTGAAATATATAGTAGGTACTGTAGAGCATACCTTCTATTCCAGTATGATATAGCTTAGAGATTCCAGGAAATGGCCAGCAGTTACAGGACAAGAAGACTATGCAATGATCAAAATTTCTGTCCATGTCAGAAAGCTGATACTGCCATCAACTGGTCAACATGTTACATTGACTATATGATGCCTTTTATTGTTCATGTATAAAACATAAAAAGTTAAATGGTTACTGTAACTTATGTTCTAAATTGTAAATTAATATCCAGCGCATACAATGTCTGGATATAATATCCAGTGCATGCAATGTTATACAATATAAATGCTTGTTTTTGAGAAAAAAAAAAAATATATATATATGTATATATATATATATATATATATAAAAACTGTTTTCAAATGTAAACCTTATGATAACAAAGGCTGCATTTATTTGAACAAAAAAAATCAGTGAGATCAGTAATATTGTGAAATAGTAATACAATTTCAAACAACATTATTTATTTAAATACTTTAAAATATAATTTACATTTCATGTAATACATTTAATGCATTCTTGCTGAAAAATCTTTCTCTGTTCAATAAATTTCAAATAAAAAACTAAAAGATTAAATACTATTTTAATGCAGTTTGAAAGAATTAATTAAAACATGAATTATATTATACTACACAGTATGAAAATGGGTATTCAGTTTTATATTTGCTAGATTACATTTTTACAGTGTTATTAAAGGGTTAGTTCACCCCAAAATGAAAATTCTGTCATTAATTACTCACCCTCATGTCGTTTCAAACCCGTAAGACCTTCATTCATCTTCGGAACACAAATTAAGATATTTTTGATGAAATCGGAGAGCACTCTGACCCTCCCATAGACAGCAACGCAACTGTAATGTTCCGAGGTCCAGAAACATATAGGACATCGGTAAAACAGTCCATGTGACATCAATGGCTCAACTTCAATTTTGTGATGCTACGAGAATACTTTTTGTGCGCAAAGAAAACAAAAATAATGACTTTATTCAACAATTCTTCTCCCCAGAGTTACCGTCTTCCGCCATGTTAGAGTATCACAATGCACACGCACGCTTTCCCCTAAGCGTAAACAACACTGATTACGCAGATTACGTTCATGCGCGCACTTTCCCCCCGAACGTAAACAACGCTGATTACGTCGATTACGTACTGAGGGAACTCTCCAAAATGGCGGAAGACGTAACTCGGGGGAGAAGAATTGTTGAATAAATTATGTTGTTTTTGTTTTCTTTCCGCACAAAAAGTATTCCCGTAGCTTCGCAAAACTGAAGTTGAGCCACTGATGTCACATGGACTGTTTTACCGATGTCCTATACGTTTGTGGACCTGGGAACATTACAGTTGCGTTGCTGTCTATGGGAGGGTCAGAGAGCTCTCCGATTTAATCAAAAATATCTTAATTTGTGTTCCGAAGATGAACGAAGGCCTTACGAGTTTGGAACGACATGAGGGTGAGTAATTAATGACAGAATTAGCATTTTGGGGTGAACTATCCCTTTAAATGATTTGCATTTTTGAACAATAACTTTATGTGAGCATTAGACAACATCAAGGGTAATCTAAATGTAAAAATAAGGTATACACTACTGATAAATTGAAAAAAAAAAAGTGTTACCATCATGCACCCCACTATAGTCCTTTGATCAAAGAAGAACAGCAGGCTTGCTGATGAAGGGTTATCCAGTGACTTTGTAAAGTGACACTAGTGAGACGTCAGCTGACACTAGTGAGACTCATCCAAATCTTTCTTCCCGCAGCTCTCAAAAGGGGGATCAGTGTTTGATCATTGTACTCTGTCAATAACTTCCCATGAGCATTTTCACTTGAATAAGACAAATCTTTAGCTTTTGATGCAGTTAGGATTTAATTAGTTGTTTATTTAGATTGCACTTCATATGGGAAAGTAATTGACAATATTTTTTCCAAATGATACCTGAGAGTTAGTGCCTCAGATTTGAGAGAGGCCTACAAAGAGAACATTTAACTGTGAGACACAGTGATGTAAAACAGTGTAATGTATAATGTCAACACAACTGCTTGTGCACTGATGTGCGGCAGCAAGCCGGGGGAATGGTGTTTTATTAGCCTACACAATTAATCAGGGAATCATGTTAGACGGTAAAGGCAGCTGGCATGTTTATGGCCAGGAGCCAGATTTGCATACAAGCAAAGCAGCAGAATGGCCTGGATGTGTTTACTGCTGTTTAGCATAGTTAGCTTTTTCATTTTTATGTACTTCAATGTGAAGTGTGCTCAGCATCAACTGCTGGCTAGCAGCTCACAGCACAGTCTGAGCGCTTGAGCATGAATATTAGCAAATGACCCCGGGAAGCCCCAGTGGCCTCAAAGTTTAACAGAAGAGTAATGCAGTTAATAAGGCTGGATGCATCCTGTGAAAATAAATGCTAGGCTGTGTAGTCTGCAAAGAGTGTGGGTGTCGACTTGATGGATAAATACTATGAAGATGCTGTAGAAAGAGAATGGTTGAGAGCAAAATAGAACAGAGAAACAAAAAGGCAATGGTCTGCCAGATTGAGAGAGACAGAAAACAGAAATGAATGAGAATTAAGTAATAGTTCACCCTGAAATAAAAATTGTATTATAATTTACTCATCCTCGTGTTGTCCTAAACCTGCATTACCTTCCTTCTATTGCAGAACACAAGGTATTTTGAAGAATGCTGGTTGGTTACTAAACAAAAATAAATGAATAAATAAATAAATAATAATAATAATAATACAGCATCTTCATAGTATTTATCCATTAAGTCGACTATATCCACCCACAGGCTTTTCAGACATAATGTATCGCATAACCTTGTACTTCAGTTACATCTGGTCAAATGCTAATTTTCATTCCTTTGCTTGGGTTTGAGGACATCTGAGGACAACATACAAAACTACCAAATCTTGCTATAATGGACATCAACTTCAGATAGTCCCCACTGATAAGCTATTACTAAATATAATGGAGAATCTTTAATTTTCTGTAAAGCTGCTTTGCAACGATTTGCACATGAAAAGTGCTATACAAATAAACTTGAATTGAATTAATAACAATCATAATAATAATCAATATCTCTTAATAATAAAGATGTTCCACAGAAGGAAGTCAGTCATACATGTTTGCTAAAACATGAGGGTGGGTTAATGAGACCTAATATGGCATAATGTTGATTTCTGCAAAAAACAAAACAATTTAGTCTTGCCCCTTGTTTTCCTATAAATAAATAAATAAATAAATAAATAAATAAATAAAATACAGGTTACAGTGAAGCACTTCTAATACAATGAAAGTAAATGGGGCAAATTATTGCAGGATTTAAGACCAGAAATGTGACGCATATACTATATGCATTATATTTTATATAAGAAAATTATTATTTTGTTAAAATGTATGTACAATTTGCATTGTAAAGTTGTCGTTCTCTCTCTCTCTATCTCTCCCTTTCTGTTTAAGGAAAAAGTAATTTAATCATTTTAGTTATCATTATGCCACAAGTGCTGTCGATTGCAGAACCCAGAATATTCTTGAGCTAAACAGCGTGAGACTGCTGGTGTTTGTATAAAATAAATCTGTGGGATCTGTCACATGCTTAGCCTAATATAAAAGAGAACAAACCAAAACACACTTTCACTGAGGGAGTTCATTTTCCATCAACGCACATGATCCCAGCACAATGAGATAAACCTCAAAAGAGCTAATTTCAGAGCAATTTCTGTCAGGCTCTGATGTGTGAGCTTTAAAAGTTAAATTTTAAATATTATGCTAATATGCAACGGGATTATCGGTTGCAAACAGTGTTTTGACAAGCTTGTCATGATCTCTTGCCTGTCATGAAAACGGTAGACAGCAGAAATCCTGATACAGAGGGTGGAAGATTGGCTTCCTTGTATATTAAAAATGAACGAGTGGTGGCGCTGTTGCACTGAAAACCTATAATTAGAATCTCTAAGCATGTTGCGGAGGACAAATTGACACAACACAAGCGAAGGTCTCCCAACAAGTTAGCAGAAGCTGGAACCAAAGACCGTTTCGTTGGAGAGAACAGTCCTGAAAACGACTGCTGCTACAGTGCACTACACGACATTTCCGGGTTTTTCATGGACATTTTATTTAAATCAAGCTGAAAATGAAAAGCTCTGTGTTGTGGAGGACATACAGAAGATTAAAGGTCAAAAGTGCTGATTATAAAAAAAAAATTCCAGCTCTTTGACCGATCAATCTAACATGCGTGAAGAACGTGATCTTCTGCACTCAACTCCTTATATCGTGAGCATAATGTTTGTGTACACCAAACTAGAGCACGTTATGCATTAACTGGCATCTGCAGCGATGTTAATGTTTCTGGCAGCAGTCAGATTATTTCTCTCCCGTCCTGGATGCAGCAGGTAGGCCACGGCAGACCGACCGTTTTAGGAGAAAATGTATTCAGTCTGTACTCAGAACGTATCGAATAGGCTAGTTTAGCATTTCAATAGCCCATTTAGGAATGCAAAAATTGGATTATAGCCTATAGGTTGCAGATAGGGTGCACGCTCGGCCATTGCACTCAGTAGTGTGAGTTATATATTATTTGATAGACTCTCATAATGTTAGTGACTACCATTCAGTAGCACACATTAACTTTTTAAAGCTTCTAGCAGTATTGTCATTTTTTACTGAAACTATTAAGTGTATATAAAAATTATAATATAAATATTAAATGAAAAACTTAAAAACAAAAATTGGATATGTTGGCAATATGTAACTGAGATTAAAATAAGTATGAGCTGAATTACTAAAATACAATAATAATAATAAAAAAATAAACAAAAACTAATGAAGTAAACTTAAAAATAATAGCAAAAAGATCATTTAAATTCTAATATATATTCTTACACACACATAAGGAATAATTGATGACTGGCCATTGACGTTGAATTATTAGAAAAATAATGCATTATTTTTCTAATAATTCAACGGCCTGATTGGTCAGCCAATCAGATTCAAGCATTCAACGGCCCCCGTAGTATAAATATGTATATATTATGAAGTTAAACATTTTGAAGTACGCAGTGTTGTTTATTTGTTTTCAATTTCTGTTACCTTCCTTCTCTTTCAGGGTATACAATGAATCCCTTCCATGGATCCGTTGGACCCTTGGCCTGCTGCTTCTCTGTACTGCTGATGCAGACAGTGGTAGAAAACCTAATTTTGTCTTTATGATGGTGGACGATTTAGGAATTGGAGACCTTGGATGCTATGGAAACACAACACTGAGGTTTGTTCATATGATTGAGTTTATTGCTTTTATTCAGAGTTCTTCCAGGAAATCCATACAAACTGTCCGCTTATGACTTGTGGATTGTATTAGTTGTTACATGTATGTACTCTGCATGTGAAATAATGTACAGTTAGGCCAGCACTGTCAGAAGATGCTGTGTAAGAATGATTCAAGATCATTACATTTGACTTGCATTGGATTTTCTTTTTGATGGGTTCATGTACCGTACGCTTCAAAGATGAATAAAGTTTGTATGGAAGCTTGTTTCTGCCACGGTATAAAAAAATAAAAAGATAATTGCATCTTTTTATCTCAGTTCTTTCTTCACTTTTTTCTTGCAATTCTGAGAAAAAATTAAGTCTGAATTGTGAGGTATAAACTCTTAGAATAGTTAGATTAAAAGTCGAAATTACATTTCCTGATGAAAAACAAAACTGAATTGTGAGATGCAAACTTCCATAAATTTGGAACCCAGGTGAATAGACATCTCTCTCACAGGCATAATGAGACTGTGTATTGTATTGTGGTTGTCCTGGCCCGCAGGACGCCTAACATTGACAGACTGGCCCTGGAAGGGGTGAAACTGACCCAACACATAGCTGCTGCACTCTGCACTCCCAGCAGGGCAGCCTTCCTCACAGGCAGATACCCGATTCGATCAGGTCAGTGCTGGAGATACTAGAGTTCTGCTGAAATAAGCGATATGTGCTGAGACTTAGTGTTAAAGTGTTAAAAAACACTTCTTTGTATGAGAGATTGCTGATAATTACAATAATAATTATAATAATGTAATTATAATATTATTAGTAGTACTAAGTACTAGTACTTCAGTGGATTCATTGTTTATTTTTTAAGCCATTTATGCAGCATGTTCATAAAAAAATGGTCAGTTTGTCTTTTTAACATTGGTGTAGGATTCTCACTTCATGTGTACATTTGCTTTTTTTTTTTTTTTGATGCATAGGTATGGCTGCACATGGGCGTATGGGAGTTTTTCTCTTTTCTGCATCGTCAGGAGGCCTTTCACAAGAAGAAATCACCTTTGCCAAGGCTGTCAAAGAGCAAGGCTATTCTACTGCTGTATTCGGTATGTTACTTACATAACTCTGGTTATACGGTAACAGGGTCCTGTAAAGTATGTCACTGTGGGAAATGCCTCAGGCGTGACCGATGACAATACATGTGGTGGCTGACCGACAGGTCATGGGAATGACAAGGGTCATCTGTCATTGCGCAATTCTTAACATCTCTTTTTTATTCTGACTGAGTGAAGTGTGTCGAGATCACATTGATCACATGATTATCAGAGAATGGGAGTTAGCATTTAAATTTAAAATCATTTGATATCTCATTAGGAATGCAAACAGCTCCATATTGCAAATAGCACGTAGTTCAGATAATCCAGTGTTGTTGTTTATGATTAATTGGGCTAAGATCTCTTCATAGCTTGTATGAATCAAATTAAATAAATTCTATTATTTATTTATAAACTTTGGACTTAGAGCAGTGTAGTATTACAATATACAACATATAAAATCTCTTGATTAAGTGTAGTGATTTCCAAGCTGACTTGGCACTTATATCTTTGGAGGGATATGCACTTAAAGGGTTACTCCACCCCAAAATGAAAATGTTGTCATTAATTGTCATTAATTGATTAATTAATTTGTAATTAATTTGTCTCCTCCGCATCACCGTAGTGCCATTTTGGACGTAGAAATGTAGAAAACGTATCCGTGTGGTGCGGCTGACACAGAATAGCATACGCTGTTTGCGTTCAGTGGATATTCTCCAAAATGGCACCAGGGTGACGCGGAGGAGACGAATTGTTGAATAAAGTTGTTATTTTTGTTTACTTTGCGTACAAAAAGTATTCTCGTCCACTGATGTCACATGGATTATTTTACCGATGTCCTTGCTACGTTTCTGGATGTTGATCATGTTACTTACATTGCTGTCTATGGGAGGGTCAGAGAGCTCTCAGAATGCATCAAAAATATCTTAATTTGTGTTCCGAAGATGAACAGAGGTCGTACGAGTTTGGCACGACATGAGGGTGAGTAATTGACAATGACAAAATTTTCATTTTGGGGTGGAGTAATCCTTTAAATAGCATCTATGATGCAGATTGATTGCTTAAGCTCTCCTGGGGTTGCAAGCTAATACTATTATAATTTGGTATCACTGATTCTTGGGACATGGAACAAATGATGTCAATAAATTTACTTGTCACAGGATTTGAAAATAGCAACATTTCCCCTTTGAAAATAATTAGGGATGCACCGATACCACTTTTTCCAGTACTTGCCCGATACCGATACTTTTATATTTGGTACTTGCCGATACCGAGTACCGATACCGATTTTGCTATCCTCACTTACATAAATGAACTGTAGTGTCCTGCACCCACTTGTAAAAAACTATCAAAAATTATATCTGGTCTCTGCATCCGACCGAACTACAAACTTTCCAGTGATGTCTGTGAGAAAGGTATATTCACTTGTGATGTGTATTCACTCGACAAGCTCGCGTATCTGCGCCGCCGTGCACTCAATCCACTCAGCGCGCTTTGCTTATCAACTCGCGCACATCAGCGATACAGGCGTTAATACTGAATGTTTAACATTATATTCATTGCATACATGAGTACGAGTACAGGAGACCAGTATCGGGCCCGATACCGATACCAGTATCGGTATCGGTGCATCCCTAAAAATAATCCAAGATTAGTAATAGAATGCTTTTATCACACACACACACACACACACACACACATACACACACCATTTTATTGTATTATTTTATTAATCAAAAGTATTACTGAAAACTACTGTGATGCAAAACTGAATTTTCAGCATCCATTACCCCAGTATTCAGCATCACACAAGCAATCAGAAATAATTCTAATATGCGGATTTGCTGCTCAAGTAACATTTCTTGTTATCATCATTGTTGAAAACAGTTCATATTTTTTGTGGAAACTGTGATTCCCTTTCATGGGAACTTCGAACTGCGTCCTCTAGGGGTCGCTATGGGGAACGCCTCGTCGTGACCCGTGTCTGAAGCATACATTGAAAAAACACCAACTCGTTGGCCGGCGACAGCCATGACGTCACTACCGGTGCGACTATAGTATAAATAGGCGCCGGGAGCACACATCATTCACTTCTTCGTCTGAAGCTTGCGTCCGCAGCATGGCAAGAAACCTAGAGGATGCAGTGTCTCGTTCCCTACTCAGGGAACCACGGTTACATAAGTAACCTGAGACGTTCCCTTTCATGGGAACTTCGAACTGCATCCTCTAGGGGTCGCTATGGGGAACGCCTCGTCGTGACCCGTGTCTGAAGCATACATTGAAAAAACACCAACTCGTTGGCCGGCGACAGCCATGACGTCACTACCGGTGCGACTATAGTATAAATAGGCGCCGGGAGCACACATCATTCACTTCTTCGTCTGAAGCTTGCGTCCGCAGCATGGCAAGAAACCTAGAGGATGCAGTGTCTCGTTCCCTACTCAGGGAACCACGGTTACATAAGTAACCTGAGACGTTCCCTTTCATGGGAACTTCGAACTGCATCCTCTAGGGGTCGCTATGGGGAACGCCTCGTCGTGACCCGTGTCTGAAGCATACATTGAAAAAACACCAACTCGTTGGCCGGCGACAGCCATGACGTCACTACCGGTGCGACTATAGTATAAATAGGCGCCGGGAGCACACATCATTCACTTCTTCGTCTGAAGCTTGCGTCCGCAGCATGGCAAGAAACCTAGAGGATGCAGTGTCTCGTTCCCTACTCAGGGAACCACGGTTACATAAGTAACCTGAGACGTTCCCTTTCATGGGAACTTCGAACTGCATCCTCTAGGGGTCGCTATGGGGAACGCCTCGTCGTGACCCGTGTCTGAAGCATACATTGAAAAAACACCAACTCGTTGGCCGGCGACAGCCATGACGTCACTACCGGTGCGACTATAGTATAAATAGGCGCCGGGAGCACACATCATTCACTTCTTCGTCTGAAGCTTGCGTCCGCAGCATGGCAAGAAACCTAGAGGATGCAGTGTCTCGTTCCCTACTCAGGGAACCACGGTTACATAAGTAACCTGAGACGTTCCCTTTCATGGGAACTTCGAACTGCATCCTCTAGGGGTCGCTATGGGGAACGCCTCGTCGTGACCCGTGTCTGAAGCATACATTGAAAAAACACCAACTCGTTGGCCGGCGACAGCCATGACGTCACTACCGGTGCGACTATAGTATAAATAGGCGCCGGGAGCACACATCATTCACTTCTTCGTCTGAAGCTTGCGTCCGCAGCATGGCAAGAAACCTAGAGGATGCAGTGTCTCGTTCCCTACTCAGGGAACCACGGTTACATAAGTAACCTGAGACGTTCCCTTTCATGGGAACTTCGAACTGCATCCTCTAGGGGTCGCTATGGGGAACGCCTCGTCGTGACCCGTGTCTGAAGCATACATTGAAAAAACACCAACTCGTTGGCCGGCGACAGCCATGACGTCACTACCGGTGCGACTATAGTATAAATAGGCGCCGGGAGCACACATCATTCACTTCTTCGTCTGAAGCTTGCGTCCGCAGCATGGCAAGAAACCTAGAGGATGCAGTGTCTCGTTCCCTACTCAGGGAACCACGGTTACATAAGTAACCTGAGACGTTCCCTTTCATGGGAACTTCGAACTGCATCCTCTAGGGGTCGCTATGGGGAACGCCTCGTCGTGACCCGTGTCTGAAGCATACATTGAAAAAACACCAACTCGTTGGCCGGCGACAGCCATGACGTCACTACCGGTGCGACTATAGTATAAATAGGCGCCGGGAGCACACATCATTCACTTCTTCGTCTGAAGCTTGCGTCCGCAGCATGGCAAGAAACCTAGAGGATGCAGTGTCTCGTTCCCTACTCAGGGAACCACGGTTACATAAGTAACCTGAGACGTTCCCTTTCATGGGAACTTCGAACTGCATCCTCTAGGGGTCGCTATGGGGAACGCCTCGTCGTGACCCGTGTCTGAAGCATACATTGAAAAAACACCAACTCGTTGGCCGGCGACAGCCATGACGTCACTACCGGTGCGACTATAGTATAAATAGGCGCCGGGAGCACACATCATTCACTTCTTCGTCTGAAGCTTGCGTCCGCAGCATGGCAAGAAACCTAGAGGATGCAGTGTCTCGTTCCCTACTCAGGGAACCACGGTTACATAAGTAACCTGAGACGTTCCCTTTCATGGGAACTTCGAACTGCATCCTCTAGGGGTCGCTATGGGGAACGCCTCGTCGTGACCCGTGTCTGAAGCATACATTGAAAAAACACCAACTCGTTGGCCGGCGACAGCCATGACGTCACTACCGGTGCGACTATAGTATAAATAGGCGCCGGGAGCACACATCATTCACTTCTTCGTCTGAAGCTTGCGTCCGCAGCATGGCAAGAAACCTAGAGGATGCAGTGTCTCGTTCCCTACTCAGGGAACCACGGTTACATAAGTAACCTGAGACGTTCCCTTTCATGGGAACTTCGAACTGCATCCTCTAGGGGTCGCTATGGGGAACGCCTCGTCGTGACCCGTGTCTGAAGCATACATTGAAAAAACACCAACTCGTTGGCCGGCGACAGCCATGACGTCACTACCGGTGCGACTATAGTATAAATAGGCGCCGGGAGCACACATCATTCACTTCTTCGTCTGAAGCTTGCGTCCGCAGCATGGCAAGAAACCTAGAGGATGCAGTGTCTCGTTCCCTACTCAGGGAACCACGGTTACATAAGTAACCTGAGACGTTCCCTTTCATGGGAACTTCGAACTGCATCCTCTAGGGGTCGCTATGGGGAACGCCTCGTCGTGACCCGTGTCTGAAGCATACATTGAAAAAACACCAACTCGTTGGCCGGCGACAGCCATGACGTCACTACCGGTGCGACTATAGTATAAATAGGCGCCGGGAGCACACATCATTCACTTCTTCGTCTGAAGCTTGCGTCCGCAGCATGGCAAGAAACCTAGAGGATGCAGTGTCTCGTTCCCTACTCAGGGAACCACGGTTACATAAGTAACCTGAGACGTTCCCTTTCATGGGAACTTCGAACTGCATCCTCTAGGGGTCGCTATGGGGAACGCCTCGTCGTGACCCGTGTCTGAAGCATACATTGAAAAAACACCAACTCGTTGGCCGGCGACAGCCATGACGTCACTACCGGTGCGACTATAGTATAAATAGGCGCCGGGAGCACACATCATTCACTTCTTCGTCTGAAGCTTGCGTCCGCAGCATGGCAAGAAACCTAGAGGATGCAGTGTCTCGTTCCCTACTCAGGGAACCACGGTTACATAAGTAACCTGAGACGTTCCCTTTCATGGGAACTTCGAACTGCATCCTCTAGGGGTCGCTATGGGGAACGCCTCGTCGTGACCCGTGTCTGAAGCATACATTGAAAAAACACCAACTCGTTGGCCGGCGACAGCCATGACGTCACTACCGGTGCGACTATAGTATAAATAGGCGCCGGGAGCACACATCATTCACTTCTTCGTCTGAAGCTTGCGTCCGCAGCATGGCAAGAAACCTAGAGGATGCAGTGTCTCGTTCCCTACTCAGGGAACCACGGTTACATAAGTAACCTGAGACGTTCCCTTTCATGGGAACTTCGAACTGCATCCTCTAGGGGTCGCTATGGGGAACGCCTCGTCGTGACCCGTGTCTGAAGCATACATTGAAAAAACACCAACTCGTTGGCCGGCGACAGCCATGACGTCACTACCGGTGCGACTATAGTATAAATAGGCGCCGGGAGCACACATCATTCACTTCTTCGTCTGAAGCTTGCGTCCGCAGCATGGCAAGAAACCTAGAGGATGCAGTGTCTCGTTCCCTACTCAGGGAACCACGGTTACATAAGTAACCTGAGACGTTCTGCAATGAATAGAATGTTCAAAAGAACAGTATATTATTTATTTATTTATTTTGTAAATTCTTAACTGTCACTTTTGATTAGTTCTTTTTAAAAATGTATTTGCTCATTTATATGCTAGTTTTGTCAATATTTATAATAAATATTAAATATGACATTCATATCTGCTTGTTTATGTTGACATAATGGCAAGGAAAGCACATTTTGTGGGAAAAGGGAGTAAGCAGGTGGTTTCACCAAAACCTCTAACATGTTTAACTCAATAATCCAAAATAATTCCATGATTGATTGTCTAATTGATTGATTTATTTGTTTGTTTATTCACTTATGTAGTTTATGTTGTCCTGTATCTCAAAAATCAGTGATATTGTGTGATATACCACTGAATGAAAAGCTAGCAGCTGTAGTGATGACTGGCTCACCTCAGGGACAAATGTGGATTCGGCTTAAGGGACTAAAAAAAGGGAAAAAAAGGGGAAAAAGGGGGG